GTCTCTGATAGGAGTCCAAGATGGCGGATCCATGCTGCGTTAGCTGATAGGGGACCTCTGCATGAACCTCTCCTTGCTCTCCATTCTCTGTCAGTTTTCTCACTCCATTTGGTGCTTGGCTGAGTTCTTTATGTCTTCATTTGATGTTTTAGGGTTTCAAGATTGCTGTTTTCTCTGTTTGGCTTAGTTTTTCAGATCTTTGCCGTGGAGGGATGGCGTGGTGCTTCTGCCTAGAGTGCCATGATGCTGGAAGTCCCCCTGGTTAATATATTTCTGGTTTATGTAGAAATTAAAAGCTGTCAACCACAGTGAGAGCAGAGTTTATCAGACCAGAAGAACTGAGTCCAGATATTTGTGTTTAAAAAGCAAGCAGATTTAAATAGCAATTCACTACTCTGAAGAAAAGTCTGATTTTTCTGGCTTTTAAGATGATCAAAGTTTTACAGTATGTATCTGAACCACACTTCTAATACAGAGCGGGTTATGCATTTTGACTTAAGAGTTAAAATTGGAGTCATTATTTCCTGTCCTTGAGTATAAAGAATGTAACCCAGCTAGAGGTGGACTTATGAGGACTCACAAGGGCATATCAGCTGGGTCCTGAGGTATGAAAACAACAGCTAGGACAATCTTGGAAAATATCTTTTAGGGAACCTTTCACATAAACAAATACTTAGACAGACCACGAAAGACTCACATATTTTCCACTCTTATCTTTTTCTATTAACCCATTGCTGTTGAGTGGATTCCGACTCTTAGCAATCCTGTAGGACAAAGTAGAACTACCCCATAGTGTTTTCAGTGAGTGGCAGGTGGATTCAAACTGCTGACCTTTTGGTTAGCAGCAGAACTCTTAACAACTGCACCACCAGGGTTCCTCTTTTTTTTTTTTTTTTTGTGCAACCATCATCACTATTTATTTCCAGAAATTTTTCATCACCCTAAACAGAAACTCTGTACAGATTAAGCAATTACTCCCCATTGCTCCCTCCCCCAGCCCCAGGTAACTTCTACTTTCTGCCTCTTCTAGAGATTTCATATAAATGGGATTATACAATATTTGTCCTTTTAGGGCTCCTCTTTTCTTATTAGCATTTAGATTTGAAGAACTTTCTGTCATTACCAGAACCCGTACCAATGATTATTAAGAAAGATAATTCAAAATTTCAAAATTACAGTGATTTAGCAATTTTTAGCCAAACTATGAAAAGATGAAGCTTTTAATGACTGTACCCATTTGTAATGTCAATATATACTGATGATTCTGTAACATTCTTCAGGCTCAGGCAGACATGGCTCTGGCAGCACGCTAGTCTGTTTCTCACTTTTACTTCCTTGAACATATGCAGAATAAAATCTTTCTTCTTGCTTTGTGATGATTTTACCCCAGAACAATTAAAAAGTTAAATATTTGCCATATTAATAAGACAATGAACATGAAAGATGAAAGTCAGATTACGAATTGCTTTGGACGATCTGGGTTTCCAACTTTCAGTTTGGTGGTTTAGTTAATGTTTGCCTTTTGAGTTTATTATAATCCAGGGTGTGACCCTCCATTCCTGGTTCAGGTGTTGTGACCATTTCACAGATTATTTGACTCCACAAGTTTTCTTTTTTTTATTATGATTTAGGTGAAAGTTTACAAATTAGTTTCTCATTAAACAGTTAATACACTAACTGTTTTGTGGCATTGGTTTGCCAGCCCCACGATGTGTCAACACTCTCTCCTTCTCCACCCCATTTTCCCTGTTTCCATTCATCCAGTGATTTAGAAAATAATATTGGAGTTATTATTCCCTGTCCTTGAGTGTAGAGAATGTGACCCAGCTGGAGCTGGGCTCACAAGGACTCACAAGGACACATCAACTGGGCCCTGAGGTATAAA